GGAAAGAGCCTTTGTCCTCTGTATGGGGTATAGGCGTCGAAACGCCTCGTTGGTCACCAAAGGATAATGTCTCTCTGTCTCTCTCTCTCTTTCTCTCTCAATCTGTCATAGCGGTCGCAGAGCTTGTGTCTCTACGTACCATTCCTCTTCTCTCCCGCTTCTCTCTGTTTATAGACACCAACGCAGCTACGAGTCCATAATCCAAACAGAGGGTGCCGTATTCACTCACCGTAACCATCGGCCATGTGCTCGTCTGCGAATAGCTATTTTCCTGGTATTCGGGTAAACGCCCGTCAGCGAAAAGTGCAGATTTTCCGAGATTCATCTTTTTTCGAAAAATATTAGCATGAAATATGTCCGATATTTCAAAAAATAAATATATCAAAAATATTTAAAATATCATATATAAATTGAAAATATATTTATAGAAAAGTAAGGAGAGAGAGAGATAGAAAATTAAATTTGTTATCTATTGTACTTTGTTTATTATTTGATAATTTGTATTAAAGCATTCGAATAAATATGGCTTAATTCTCTTTCAATATAACTACCAATTACTTAGATGAGATATACAATATATTTAATTTTTTTGTATATGTCATTATAAAAGTATATGGATTTTTAAATATCTTTGATTAATTCTATTTTCATAATTAAATTTAGATTTTTTTTATATTAATAGAAATTTTGTATTAACCTGATCAAAATCTATATGTCACGCATAAATTTCAATTGAAAGCTAATGACAGCTCTAATTTTGTGTTGACCAAAGTGACTTTTACACTAGTCAGCACGCATAATTAGAGAACGAACTTTATGGTTCATCATATTTCTGGCAGAAAACCCTTGTCAGATGTCTCAGGTTGCTTTTAGCTGCTTAAACCCGAGAAGAATGATTTACCACTTCGACGTACTCGTCGTCGAGCAGTCATAATGCCAGTTTGACAGCACATAAATCTTGAGTCAAACTGCGCGATATCACGAGCTGCATACCATGTGTTTCAGAGAACGCATTTGCAGCCGACCGCGCAAAAAGAATTCCGTTTCTCCGTCCTGTCACCCCTTTCCGAAACCCTTTTCGGTACCCTTGAACCCCTCTGATCGAGTTTGACCGCGGCGCTAATTCATGGTCGGTGACATCTCGTTGCCTTCGCATCAAGTACTATTGTTCTGGCCAACTCGATCGCACGGCCATTGTACTCCTCTCGAGCGCGACATTAAATGTCCAAAGTAGCACCTGGCGGAAGAAACGTTCAGTGAACAATTTCTGTAATTGATCCGATTGCATGTTTGTTTGGAAACACCGACACCGCGTTACATTGCCTATGCTATGATTCGAATCGACGATTGTTTGACTGGCATTCGCAAAAGTGATAAACAAACCGAGAATTTAAATCGATATAAATTGATATATCTTTAGATTTTTAAAGTAAGATCTTGTTTCATATATTACATATGTTAACTTTAATGACAAAAAGATTTTTAATTAGATTCATCCAATTACTTAGATGAGATATACAATATATTTAATTTTTTTTGTATATGTCATTATAAAAGTATATGGATTTTTAAATATCTTTGATTAATTCTATTTTCATAATTAAATTTAGATTTTTTTTATATTAATAGAAATTTTGTATTAACCTGATCAAAATCTATATGTCACGCATAAATTTCAATTGAAAGCTAATGACAGCTCTAATTTTGTGTTGACCAAAGTGACTTTTACACTAGTCAGCACGCATAATTAGAGAACGAACTTTATGGTTCATCATATTTCTGGCAGAAAACCCTTGTCAGATGTCTCAGGTTGCTTTTAGCTGCTTAAACCCGAGAAGAATGATTTACCACTTCGACGTACTCGTCGTCGAGCAGTCATAATGCCAGTTTGACAGCACATAAATCTTGAGTCAAACTGCGCGATATCACGAGCTGCATACCATGTGTTTCAGAGAACGCATTTGCAGCCGACCGCGCAAAAAGAATTCCGTTTCTCCGTCCTGTCACCCCTTTCCGAAACCCTTTTCGGTACCCTTGAACCCCTCTGATCGAGTTTGACCGCGGCGCTAATTCATGGTCGGTGACATCTCGTTGCCTTCGCATCAAGTACTATTGTTCTGGCCAACTCGATCGCACGGCCATTGTACTCCTCTCGAGCGCGACATTAAATGTCCAAAGTAGCACCTGGCGGAAGAAACGTTCAGTGAACAATTTCTGTAATTGATCCGATTGCATGTTTGTTTGGAAACACCGACACCGCGTTACATTGCCTATGCTATGATTCGAATCGACGATTGTTTGACTGGCATTCGCAAAAGTGATAAACAAACCGAGAATTTAAATCGATATAAATTGATATATCTTTAGATTTTTAAAGTAAGATCTTGTTTCATATATTACATATGTTAACTTTAATGACAAAAAGATTTTTAATTAGATTCATATTATTTATCATATTTGATTACATTTCTGATTATTTTTGTGAAACGTAACTATATCAGAACAGTATCCCAGCGTGTGTGTAACTAAATCTTTCGAAATGGACGAGCAATATTGTTAACGCAACGGGCTCTGACACTGCAGATACGCAAACAAACTGGGCGTTTGACAATGAACAGACATAATTGGTTGAATACCACCTCGATAGATAGAGACAAGTACTATCGGCGAATACTCCCGTGACACTGTTGCTCGCGTGTTTGTATCTTGTTATGAAATGCAAGCACGCTTGTACGCGAGGCACACCATCGTTCCGTTCCTCTCGATCCCTCTCGTTTTACCCCTCTTTGCCAACCATTCGTTCTCTCCTCTTCCGACGCGCTCGCTCGCTCGCTCGTTCGCTGTCCTGTATGCGAAGCAAATGTATCATATCACACGGGCCCCCAGGGCTGCATTACAAGCCCGATCATAGTACGTTTCCGGCTGTATTAATACGACCGTAAAAATGCAACCTCTATTTCGCGATTCCGCCGAACTAAACCGTCCGCTAATTCCATTTGCTATAGGGCGAAAATGGGGTGCGTATGCATGCGCGATGCAAACGTGCGATGTCGCATTCATAAATATGTACCTTACAATCCTGCGCTATGTAAATTTTTAATCAAATAAAAGATACGTGCAAGGATACTATTTTTTCCATCGAAGGTTTTTTTTTTCTTGATAGAATAGATTATTTTTTGAAGATGCTAAAAAATTATCAAACATACTTTAAAAAAATCTTTAAAAGCAATAAAATATTATTCATGTGTCATAAACTCCATTATATTAATACTTTTTTTAATTCAATTTTCACATTGCCAATGTCGAAGATACAGTACATGGATACTGTGAAAAAAAAAAATAAACCGCCGGTCAATTAACTTCTGGCATCGTGTTCGACGATAGCAAGTCGTTTCCGTTGCGGGTGATGTACATAGTTCGGATGAACGAGGACTCAGGGAGCACCGAGTGATAATAAAACCTGAACAATCAAGCGGCGCGTGTAAGACGCGGAGCTGGTAAAGTGAACGCGAGGATACGCGAGAAAACACGGAATACCTTCGCGTCTAGCTAGAACCGAAGGATCTTGGATGGATGTACAGCACAGGAACGATAAAAAGCAACCTTTACGACGTGACGAAATTACCACTATCCGTCGAACGAACCAGCGACGACCAGCCGACGTTTCTACCCTTGCCACTGATTTCACCCTTTTTCCTAAGCGTATAATTAAGCAACCGCAAACGAGATTATGCAATTACAGATTCAACCGCACAGATATAATAGTTTATCATTTAGCCCTCTGCTGACATTTTTCTTACAATTATTCTGCTACGAATATAAGTGATATCATTATGTTAGAATTAACGTCGATTTCCCTTATGATGTAAAAAAGATGTTTAATATGTATTTGACCATGACAAAACAATATACATTTAATTAACACTAGCAGAAATTTATATCAAGACTATAGCCATGCAGGATAAATAAATGATTTTAAATAAATGACAGCAATATTAACGCGACATTTTGAAGGCTGCCGGTATAATAATGGATTTACAGAGAAAACATGGAAGCGTGACGGGCCGAATCAAGCCAGCGTGAAACAAACAGTGGATATTGCACGCAATGTGTCGCGCCTGGGTTCAGAATCAGTCCTCTGCAAACACGTTAATGTGCGAAATACACACATCCTACTGCGGCTAATATTGCGAGAACGCCGTTGAACAAGATCGTGACACGCGTATCTTCGCCATAGGAAATGATAGTTTCATTAAGGTTAGGCCTCCATTAACAATAAGATATTACATTACTGCTCCTTCATAATTTATAGAACACAATAATTGTCATTTATAAATGATGGTTTAAATTGATAGAATATGAAATGACCTATAACTTTAATAATATACAATTTTTTATTTTTTATATATACATCCGATTACAACACTCTTTAATAAATGTATATATAAAGAACATATATACATTTAATATTCTAATTATGTCCAATTAAGAATATTTAATTCTATCCAAATTTAATTTTACACTTATGTGCCGTTTCTTTTAAATCAATATTCGATAATAAGTAGTCGTTGGAAGTGTGGCAAAAAAAAATTAAGTCGCAATAATTATTTTAAACACCATCGTTAGCAGCATGGATAACCGAGCACGCAAAAGGGTGGACGCATTCGCGGGATTTTGTTAGAGGGAGAGGTTACGCAGTGGGATACGGGTGCGTTTACGCAATTACTCGATATTACTGCTCTGGGCATCGGTAACTCTGCTAGCTCTTTACCAATAAACGCATAATCTCGTAATACCATTGATTTTCAATTCGTTATTTATCTGCTCTCGGCGGGGTTCTCAAATGAAAGAAGTGATTCTGCGCAGTTTAATCGAATCGCGTTGATTCGAGTATCGGCTAACTGGCCGTGAAGCCGAAACGAATATCGTGAAAAGAGAGTGTTATCGCGGGAATAAAAGTTTTCGCCCGTGTAACGAAAAATTGCCAAAACCGCCACAATAATCATAAATTTCGTTGCAGTGACGCGATAAATGTTTCAAAGTGGAGGGGCGCAAAATTTGTCCATATGATAAAGCTTTCGGATGAGAATCGCAGCACACAGTTAAAGCGAATGACTGTGCTCGGTAATTACAACAAAATACGCTAATATCACCCACTCTATATGAACCCCGGGTCAAGTGACCCTACGCGGTGCATCGGTCCGTGTGTCGATTCAACAGACCGTACCAAACAGGTAATGCATGCGTTATTAACATTGCCAATTTTTCGTATTAATTAACTGGGAATATATATGCGATAGCATCCAATTAAAGCCGATAAAATGT